TGCACCCCTCCCATACACCTGCTCAGCATCTACCTGTCCCCATAAGGAAATTCATTGGTTCAGAACCTTTTCTCATTGACAACTGTGTACCTGTCTCCTATCCATTCACTCTCAGTCATTTTTGGAAATGCATTTCTAATTTCCTGCTCATAACCTTTGCAAGGGCTATTGCGCCCTCCCACAAATTTCAGACTGTAAAAGACCATTTTCTGGAAAATTTAAGTTCAACCCTAGAATCACAAAACTAAAAAGCAGAGGCGTTGGAGGAGGGAGACAGGCAGGGGTTGACTGGGGGCAAAGGCATTAGACCACACTGACTAAATGAATGAATGGATGAAGTGAATAAAAATCTCTGTGGGTGAAGTGATTTAAGCAACTTGGTCAGGCAACCTGGTCAAAGAACAAGAACAGAAGTCAGTTGGTTGCAGATTCCAAAGAATCTCTTCCCATTGTTACCCAAAACTGTCCTCCATCTGCTTGTGAAACCAGGCCCATGGTGACACCAGTGTCTCTCAATTTAAGACTTCATGTTTCCTCAGCACTCTATCTTTTCCTTGGGTTCTTGTCCCTTCGGCTCCTAGTCTTGACTACATTCTTCTCTCTTCCTAGAAGAAAGTGAGGCCCCAAAATGGAAGAAAGTACAGGTAACCTTGGGACTGAGTTTACAGGTGGATTAGTTTTTTCTTAGCATCAGAAGGTAAATTTTATCTTCATTTGTATCAAATACAGGGAACATCATTTTTTAAAGATGATTTTACTTATTTATTTTTAGAGAGAGGGGAAGGGAGGAGAAAGAAAAGGAGGAAAACATTGATGTAAGAGATGTCAGTTGGTTGCTTGTTACAGGCCCCTAACCGGGGCCTGGCCTGGCAACCCAGGCTTGTTCCCTGCCTGGGAATGAAACCAGGAATCAAACCAGTGAGCGTTTGGTTTGCAGGCCAGCACTCAATCTACTGAGCCACACCAGCCAGGGCTCATTTTTTGAAATATTCAAATTCCCTATACAAAGTAGTCTCCCAATTCTTTGCTTATTCCCTGGAAAAACTCAGGAATGCTAATCAGGACTGCATTTCTTTCAGAAGTAAATCATAACCATTTTATCAATATTTGAATCTTTACTACATAAACTGCAACATTTAATGAACACTCAGCATGCATTTTTTAATTTGTAATGACTCGATTTATTTAAACTTCAACACCTGCCTTGACTGGTGTGGCTCAGTTGAATGGGCATTGTCCTGCAAAATGGAAGGTCACGAGTTCAGATTCCTGGGTTGTGGGTTCTGGCCCCAATTTGACGTTTCTCTCCCTCTCTTTCTCCCTCCCTTCCCTTCTCCCTAAAAATAAAATAAAATTTTAATTAAAAAACTTCAGCCCTGGCTGGTATGGCTCAATGGATTGAGAGCCAGCCTGTGAACCAAAAGGTCACCAGTTCAACTCCTGGTCAGAGCACATGACTGGGTCACCCCTGGTTGGGGGCGTTCAAGAAGCAACGGATAGAAGTTTCTCTCCCCCTTTCTCCCACCTTTCCTCTCTCTGAAAATAAATAAAATCTTTTTTTAAAAACCCCAAATATTTCAACATCCCCTGGGATTGGCCAACAATGCATCCATAGTTTACAGACTGAACACCTGAGGCTCAGGTGACCAGGTTATAAATGGAGCAAATAGGAATATAAATTCAGATTTGATTCCATAGCCCAAACCTCTTTAGTCTATTGCCTCAGACAAATAACATGAACCAACAAATAACAGACTTTTACAATATTTAGGGCCCCTGCCCCTCACCTAACTTAGCAACTAAATAACTTAAGCTAAAAGGCCCCTGGATTCCAATTAGTCCTCCTAGCAACTCTACTGGGTAGGTGTGTACTTGTACCCATTTCACAGATAGGAACAAAAATCAGAAAAGGAGTTGGGGTTCTGTCTATGGCTTTAAGGAACAGGATACATACAGCAACCCTACATGCGGGCCTCCTCTGCCATTTACCAGGCCATTTCCTCCAGCTACAGGCAGACACACCTGAACACCAGCACTGGGCTTCTTCCCAGCTGGAATGACAACTCTGTCCTGAGATAGTGGCAGATGTGATGTGAAAGTGTTCTGAAAAGAACTAACCACTAAGGTATGGAAGTGACTAGATATTCCAGAACCTCAGTTCCATCAGCTGCAAAAGGGGCCCAGTGGAAACAGTACCCGCTAAGAAGAGAGAAAAGTCCATCTATCATTTTGTAAAGAGGGCAAACTGCAAGGAAAATGAGGTATTCCGTATTCCTCCGGCCCCAGTCCACCAAGAAACTGAAAATTCCCCTCACTCTGAATTCATGACTTTTAAAAACTTGCTCAACACAAGGGCATGTCTGAGATGATGAGGTCCTGTACCTATCAAGGGCTAGGGGGAGGGGGCACTTTGCCATAGAGTAGGACCCAAAGATCATGTCAGATGAAATTGGAAAAGGTGTCTGGGCCTGGAGGCTGAACAGCTGGCATGAGAGCTAGTGTGAGACAAAGGATTCAATCTAAAGGTAAGTGTTCCCGGAAGAACTTGCCCAAACCCCACATAGGAAGCAAGTCCCTGGGGCTGCAATAATGAGGGGCCACAGGCACTTCTGGGTCATAGGCCCCACGTGGCAGGAGGAAGGGAAGGAAAGCACCCTCCCCCAATCTCACCTCCCTAGCTCCTCCCCTTCACCCCCTGCAGCTCCCAGATGCTCCCCCACCTTCCAACATTTGCAACGGATGGGGGTTATGCCTATGGCTTTAAGGAGCAGGATGCAGCCAGCCCCACACCTAGCCCCTTTGTCTCAACCCTCTCTACCCCAAATGAGAAAGGTAAAGTATCTTGCTTAACTCTGAAATTAGGGATTCAAGGTAGGCCCCAAACCTGGGTGGAGGGTGGAGGGTGGGGGTGGGGTGGGGGTGGGGGTGAAAATGGCCCCAACCCATAAGAGAAAACCACAGTTCCTTTCAAAAAGGAACAAAGGCACTATTTTCTGCCAACTCCCAAATTGAGTACAATTATTTGGAAAAGCTTTCCTAGCTGACAGGAATAGCACCTTGATGGAGGAAGGCAGGAAAGGAAGGGCCAGCCAGGGGTGTGCCTCCCTTCATCCCCAAGTCTTATTAACAGCTACCCTAAAGAGAGGAGCTATTGGTTAATTAATACAGATGTCAACATTCACCACCTGCTATGTCAAGCACTATCCCATTGAGTCCCCACCCCAGCCTGATGCGGTATGTGTTAGGAGCCATCACACCCATTACATATCTGAGGAACATGAAGGGTTAGAGGTTAAATCTCATAAACTGGTTTCATTCTTACACAACCTGGAGTTGTTAGGTATATTCCCATTTCACAGATGTAATAACTAAGACATGGGAAGCAATGGGCTTCCTGGGACAGACTTAAACATCGTCCAAAGATTCATGGATCCCCCTAAAGAGGGCAACCTGCTTAGCCCAGGTGCTAGGTAATGCCATGTAAGTGACAAATTTTTCTTCAGGAATTACAGTATGCCATTTCCATAAAATAGGTATCATCATCTCGACTCTGGAAAAAAATCAAGTCTGCACCTGGGGAGTTCAATGGCCTCCAGGAAAGCAGCAAAGCAGACCTCCTAGAGGGCAGAGGCAGGTAAGCCTCCTGGGCACTTTAAGTGAGAGCCCCAGCAGGATCTGCCTCCCAAAAACAATTGCCACCAGTTGGCCAAAACCCACAGTTCCAAAAATCAGAAGGTGGTTCAAGCTTTATACTCTGTCTTTAATTCTGCTTAATTCATGCACCTCTTGGCTTTTGCGGGAGGGCGGAGGGGCAAGTGGGGGAGGAGGGAGCACAAAGGCCCAGCCTGCCTCTCTCAGCCCAGGGGGTAAAGGAAAGAGGCAGGCTGAAGTACCAGGCCTTGGGCTGGGCCCAGAAGTTCTGCACCCTTTCCCTGCCGCAGGTGAGTGACTGCAAGAGGAAGAGCCGGACCCAAGACCAAGTCCTTGTTGCTAACTTGCTCTGTCCGCCCTCTGTCTTCCGCTTTCTCGCCTCGAAGTGGGACTCCACATCCACCCTCCCTCGCCAAACACATGGGCAAGGAAGGCTGTCTTCTAGGAGGTGGTGCTAGCTAGCAGTTTTGAAGCCTCAACTTACAAGTTTGGGAAGTGGGACCAGCCTCACCCCGGAAGAAGGAAAAAAATGAAAGTGAGCCCCAGGGCAGGTAAGAGTGGCGGAGCAAGGAAGCGCCGCCCCCGGGCCGGCTCCTCCCAGCCAGGTGTGCACTGGGAGAGCGCAGCTCCTCCCGAGGGCATCCCCGCAGCCCCGCTGCGCCTCGCCCTCGGTCCCTCATCTAGAGAGGACCCCAGGAGTCCGCCCCTCTGGCACGCGCCCCCGACATGCGCGCACCCCTCCGCCCACCTGCTCGCCCGCATCCACACTACTGGTTCTTTTCTACCCCTGGTAGGAAATAAAATTAAGTTCTCTCACCTGAACCCCCAGGTCCAAGTCAGAAGGAACGGATGCCGGACGCCCACCTTCTTGGCAGAATTTCCCTCTTCTATTCCGCCCCCCTCCCCAAGGAGGCTCCCTCTCAAGCCGAGGCCAGGTAAGGATACCTCCTCCCACTGAGGTCCCCTTATCTTCAGAGGGACACCTCCTCCCCTCAACTCTAGACCCCAGGAAGGACGCCCACTCTCCCTCCCTTGGGGTGAACGTCTCTCCTCACCGGGATCTTGAAATATAGCAAGGGTAGATCTTCCACTAGAAACCCTGGAAGGCATATTCCCCCGCCCCCCTCCCATTTTTATCTTTCTTGTCTGCTTCCCCCAATTAGGGTCAGGGGACCGACCTCAACTCCCCTAGCATGCCTGGTCTCCAGCCGGATGGGAGCCGCCTTCCCCAGGAGGTAGCTGGGACAGGGTCCCTCCGCGCAGTCCCAGCCCCGTTCCGCTGTCCCCTCCCCCATTAGCCCCCGGAGTCCCGGGACGGGCGAGCCTCCCCCGGACCACGGGGCGCTCACCTGCCGAGAGCCTGACTCGGACGCGGCTCCGCGGTCGAGCCGCGGGTCCGGACAGGCTAGCGCGAGGCCGGCGGGCGGCCGTGCAGAGCGCTCGGCTCGCGAATCTCCGGAGCCGATCGCCGAGCTGCGTTTACTTGGGCCACTTAACCCCCGCGCTGCCGGCCGGGCGCGGCCGCTCCCTCGTCGGCCTGCCAGTGGGCCGGTGGCGTAGGTCGGGGACGCTCGGAGCGTCCACGCGGGCTGCGGCCGGGAGGGGCAGCTGCTGCGAGGAAGCAGCGCGGGCCGGACACGGCAGAGTGAAAGGGTGGGCAGGGGGCGGTGCTGAGTCCCCTTGTAGCCCCGGCCGGGCATTCGCCCCGCCCCCCCCCGGGGGCGCCCCCGCCGCAGCCACTCAGAGCGGGCCTCCAGGGCTGGGGGGAGTGCGGGGAGGGGATGAGGGAAATTTGAAATCACTCCGGAGCCTCCCCTCCGCCCCTCCTCCACAGGCACCGCCTTTCGTCCCAAGGCCTGTTAAATCACCCACCGGGATACGAAGACTTAGTAAGGAGAGCTTGCAGACCATGCCCTAATAGTGGAGACCCACTCTGGGACCCCCTCTTCTCTGCCCCCAACCCCGATCCCGGACACATGCACACCGCTCTGGATGCGGTGGCCCAGAGAGGGAAGCGTTCCCATTGGAGTCACACAGCAAACACGTCTCTCTTTACCCCCACCTCCAGCTGCAATATCACCTGGGCGCTGCGATGCCCCTGCCGGTCAGCCATCCGGCTCTGGACCCTCAGACTAGTCCTTTCTTCCACTGAGGTCAGGCATCTTGAGGGGAGGGGAGGGAGAGCAGAGGAAGGAAAGGCAGTCAGGTCCCCGGCTTCCTGGGTTCTTGAGTACTGCTTTGCATCCCGGGCAGAAGGAGAAGCCTCATTCTGTTACAAGTTCTCAACTTCCTCTACCCTTAAAGGGGCACTGAACTATTAGAAAACCGCACTTCCTAATACTTGTGATACCTGGTATTTATACTTACATATTAGTTTGTTTGCCTGCTTATGTGTGTCTCCATGTATTAGACTGTGAAGGCCAGGTCTCAGTGTGTCTAAGCACACATATGCTCAATAAATATATGTTGAATGAATGAGAGAACAAATGAATGATGACATGATGGCCTCCAAGTCCCTCTAGTTGGCTCCTGCCTGCCTTTCCAGGCATCTCCTACCGTTTCCCCTCCCTCATATCACTCTAACCTTTTCACCTCTTTGCTATTCCTCAAACACATTAGTCATGTTCCTGAACATTCTTTGCCCATATCTTTGCATGGCCGGCTTCTCACCATTTGGTTCTTTCCCCAAAGTTCACATTCTAGAGAGACTTTTCCTGACCACCCCACCTGAACGGTCTACCCTTTCTATCACTCCTATTCTATTTCATTCTCTTTGTAGCACATATAGCTCTTCAAATCATTTTGCAGTAGTCCTTATTTACATCTTTGTTTTCTTTTTCTTGTTACACACACAAACACACATTATCAACTCTATTTCATGAAGGAAGAAAACACCTGTCTATGATGTTCAAGCTGTATTTCCAGTGCCTACAGGAGGAGTTCAATACAAGTCTGATGACTGAATGAGTGAGCACAGGTTTCCTGCCTCCAGGGCTCCAGTTCTCTAAGTAAAACCACAGCTTTCTTCGTTCACCTCTTACCAGGTATTTGCAAATAAGTAAATGGCAAATTCTCTGGAAGCTGCAAACATTTCTAAACTTACTTGCTTTTGTTCAACCTAGGAACCTGGAGAAAGGCTAAGGAGCTATAGAAGTGAAACACTCTCATTGACCAGTGGAGACTCATGTGAATGGGCAACAGGAACTCCTGGGCCTCTGGCACAAACATCCGAATTTGGATTCCAGTCAGTTTGGTACAGGAAGAAGAGGTATATCTTTAGAGGAAAGAAAACATATATGAGCTGGTGGGCCTGTGGGAGGGCTGCTGGGCCTCTTTTTTCTTATCATAAGCCAAGACCTGTTATATGGCCAAGGATATCTGTGCACCACCAAGGAATGCCTGGAAGACCTAATTAAGATGCCAAAAGGTTGGGTTTACTAGGACATGGCGAACATTTCTGGGGACAGTAGACCATCTAAGTCCCAGAAGAAAAAAAAATAGGGGGTCTAAATAGGTCAGTTGTCTCAGTCTTGTTGTTGGGAAAGGTCAGTGAGTGCCAGGAGGACTGTGAAAGAAAAATGGCATGACATCTCCCCAGGGCACAGAACTTTTTAATTAAAAAAAAAAAAAAAAAAAAGGTAGTCACATTCACCCCTCATCTGAGCTTCACCACCACTCCAGGAGGAGTCAGGGCAAGGAGAGTTGAGGGCTCCATTTCAAATGAGGGGGCTGAGGTCCAGAGAGGAGAAGGACTCGTGCCAAGTAAGTTAGCCACGCAGCCTGATCTTGACTGAGTACTTGCTATGTGGCATGAACCTGACTATGAATTCAGACAGGGAGGTCCAGGGCTTACCTGCTGGTTGGGAAGTATCAGACAATAAACATGAACAAATAAGACTATGTCAGAAATGGATAAATCTGGGAAGAAGGTAAAATGGAGACTGGAGTGATTCAGCCTGACCCAGGTCAAGATCCAGCTTGGCATGTGGGAAGGGCAGCCTAAATGCCAGTGAGACCACAGCACAGGGGGAGAGGAGGGGATAAATAACTGCAAGGGGTGGGGGCTCAGATCTTGCGGGGACTAATAAGCTTTGGTGACTTTGGACTTTGGATGTCACCATTTGAACCATGATCTGACACAGATACTTAAAACAGACCCACGTAGGGAGGTGGATGGGGAGGAGGCTGGTACCGGATCTGGAAGACTGAGGATGGTGGCCTGGATTACAATGGGAACAGGGGACACTGAAAAAAGTGACTGGATTTAGGATAGATTGTGGAGATTGAACCACTGGTGCTGATGACTCCCGGGGGTAAAGGGAGTGGCCCTAAGGATGACTCCTGCTATCAAAGGTCATTTAGATTGAGCACAGAGAAGGGAGATTTATTGACTAAATGAGGAAGGCTCCCAGAATGTGGGTTTGGGGGAGAGTTCAGCAGGTCTGACCTGGCCCTGTGAATGTGAATGCGGATTCACACTCACACTGTGCTGGGCTTTCCCCCAAGTCCCCTGCCTCTTTTCTAGTGTTCCTCACTGTCTGGGTGGTAGGACATGCCATATACGGCTCTCACACCACACCCTCCCCCCAGCATGCATTCTCACGGGGGCTGACCCCATGTCCTAGCGGTGACATTTTATCAGACACTGTGGTATGAATCCAACCTCTAAGGTCACCTGAATCTGATAAATCACCTGGCCTCTCCGAGTCTCAGTTTCCTCAGCCAACAGAAGAGAATCCTTCACAGAATTCCTGCTGGGACGATTGAATGAATTTAAATGAAAACACTGATGCTGGATTACCCCCTCAGGCAGCCAGGCCCTGGCCCCCACAAAGAAATATTTTTATGAAAGATTTTCTTTTTCTGTAATTGAAAAAAATTTAAAGGAAAGATTTTGCTTTTATTTCTACACCCCCTAAGATTTTGCCTCTTAATATTTAAAAGATGTTACTACGCACACAAAGGCAGAAGAGAACATGGAAAGTTAGGAAGAACTTTTGTTTCTAGACTGATTTCAGGTACTCCTCTGGTTGCATACAAGTGCAAAAGTGTTTACATAAAAATTTATTGTAACATCACAATCATTGTAATTGTGGTGGGAATCAATGTTTATAAAGACCAAAAATTCTGTGATTAAAGGTCATTTGTTTCATCATCCAAAAAAAAAAAAAACACAAAACGAAAACAGATCAGAGAATGTTCTTGCTCTTAGGAAATAAACACTGAAGTATTTAGGGGTAAAGGGGCATAATATCACCAATTTGCCATCAAATGATTCAAAAACAATAAGATGCATATATATAGAAGAGGGAGAATATAAAGTAAATGTGGAAAAAGTATATAAATGAAGAATCTGGTTAAAAAGACATTCATGAGTTCCTTATACTATTCTTAATAACTCTTCCATAAATTAGAGAACATATTGAGTAAAAAGGTGCCCCTTCCTAAAAAATTAATGTTAAAACATTTTTGTTTTTCTTATTTTGTTTTTTAAGACTCAATATTATCACTTTACTCAGGAGATGATTAGATACACTACAAGGCCAACAGTGAAAAATAGCTGTACATAAAATTATAAAAATTGGCTATATTTTCCAGAAGAGATTAAGTCATTGAAAAAGGAAGAGAAACCAGGAGGGTGTCTAAATGACCAGTGTTTTGAGCAAATGTCCCCCACAGTCGAGTAAAGATGGTCCCAGGTGGAGGTGGTCCTTTTAGCAGGAATAGGAGGAGGCAGCACCAATGCACAAGCTATGCCTGGCCTCGTTGAACTGCTGGAGTGCCTACTGCTTGTCCTCAGTTGCCTGATTGAGTCGGGTGTACTCTTTTACCAACCTTCTTGACAATAAATCAAAACATTGGTGGACTTGAACCTATCTTGTGGTTAAACATTATATTTGTGTTGGAATATACCATCATGTTTGCAGCTCTTAGAGCAGCTATAGATTTTTAATAACACATGCAAAACACTTAGCACAATACCTGATGCATAAAAGGTGTTTCATATATGGTAAGTATTTTTATGAGCAAGTGACTTCATTTCTCTGTGCCTCTATTTCTTCATTTGTAAAATGGAGATAATAGCAGCACTGACTTTATAGAATTGTGAGAATTATATGAGTTAATACATGTAAGGCATTTTGAACAGTTCCTGGCATGTGGAAAATAGCATAAAAGTGCTTGTTAAGTTATAAATATACATTGTGGCCCTGATTGGTGTGATTCAGTGGATTGAACACTGGCCTAGGAACCAAAAGATCATTGGCTTGATTCCCTGTCAGGGTGTATGCCTGGGTTGCGGGACCAGGTCCTGTTGATGTTTCTCTCACACATTGATGTTTCTCTCCTTCTCTTTCTCCCTCCCTCCCTCACTCTCTCTCTAAAAATAAATAAATAAAATCTTTAAAAATATATATTTTTACAA